CGGGGGAGAGGGACAGGATTAAGGCTTACTGTGAAAAACTTCACTTCTATTATACTATTTTAGATGCGGGTTTTTGCGCTTTTGATTGCGTTTTAATAGAGTACGTCAACAGAATGTACACGAAGAAGGGATTTTTCGATATTTCCCCCTCGGGGGAGAAGGACAAGATTAAGGCTTACTGTGAAAAACTTGGCTTCTCTTATACTATTTTAGATGCGGGTTTTTGCGCTTTTGATTGCGTTTTAATAGGGTACGTCAAGAAAATGTACACTAAGAAAAAATTTTTCGAAAAATTTTTCCCCACGGGGGAAGTGTTATACATTTATAATAGATACATTTTGAGCCACAACAAGGCGTGGCGGAGTTTGCTAGTATAGATATAGATATAGATATAGATATAGATATAGATATCTTTCAATAAAAGTTTACCTAACAATACAGGTGATTGTTGAAAGAATATTAATTAAAAATTACAGTTAAAGCATTGTTCATTAATTAAAACACGTAAACTCTCATTAGAAACGAATTATGTCATGATAATTATCGTAAATTTTTTATTAGGAATGTACTTTTAAAATTAATGCGAAATAATAATTGTTTCAATTGGTTTTTTCATGATTATGCGCGAGTAACGTTACTTCCACGAATATTTATTAGAGTCTTGGCATACAAAAATGAATAATGAATACATAAGTTGCCTTTTTTACAAAGATACTTTAGATTATTGTAATAAATATGACTTTGTCATACTGAAACATAAACTGACAAGTGTTATAACTATTTATATAGCATTTAGTTGAAAAATATCCTAGATCTACAGATAGCAATAAAACACCAAGTTTTTATAACAACACTAAAGCAAATAAAAACGCTATATAATATTAATTACTAAAGTTTATTAAGAGTTTTTACTTACAACAAGTGCTACTTTCATCTCGTCAGTCACTTGAAAGAATAGAGATTTATAATTAAGGTTTTCCTTCACAATATTTACAATTGTATTGACCACACAATTTNTTTATTCCTTATTCGTAAATTTACATCGAAAACAATTTATGATGTATTAATGTAAAATTACACATTCTGCTTCCATATCTCCACTAAGAATCTTTAATAACGTTACGAAATCGTTTCTTAATTTCTCGATAATATTTGTTTTTATATTTTCTAAAGCAGATTGAATATCTAATGCTAGAATGGAATCGATCAAATCACAATTTGTAGATCCAGCACGGCTAACGACGTAAATATCAGCAATACATTTGTATATTTTCGCTGTAACATTTCTTTTAACATCTTCTAAGGTAATCCTTACTCTACCTGAACTTAGGATTGAAAAACATTCTACCACTTTGACTAAACTCGCCGTATTATTTTTGTAACAAACTTTCTTTAACAGACACGACATATTTGTTACAATTGACATCACGTTACTTCCGCCGTCTATTTCGTTTTCACAGCCGAGGGAAGGGTACTTACTCGAATCCAGACATTGCGGTAACCCAGCTGTTATATTCTGAAAATATCAAGAAAGACTGAAATTTAAAAAAACTACTTTTTAAGATTTGGACGTATAATTCCTAGTTAATAAAGAGAACTGTAATTATTAAATATACCTTTCAATAAAAGTTTACCTATCAATACAGATGATTGTTGAAAGAATATTAATCAAAAATTGCAGTTAAAGCATTGTTAATTAATTAAAACACGTAAAATGTCATTACAAACGAATTATGTCATGATAATTATCGAAATTGTTTTATTAAAAATGCACTTTCTAAATTAATACGAAATAATAATTGTTTCAATTGGTTTTTTTCATGATTATGTACGAGTAACATTACTTCCAAAAATATTTATCAGAATCTTGGCATACAAAAATGAATAATGAATACATAAGTTGCCTTTTTTACAAAGATACTTTAGGTTATTGTAATAAATATGACTTGTCATACTGAGACGTAAACTGATAAGTGCTATAAGTATTTATATAGCATTTAGTAGATAAATATCCTAGCTCTAGAAATAGCAAGAACAGACCAAGTTTCTATAATAACACAAAAGCAAATTGAAACGCTATATAATATTAATTACTTATATTAATTAAACGTTTTTACTTACAACAAGTGCTACTTTCAACTCGTCAGTTACTTGAGGAAATAAATTGTCAAAATCAAGATTTTCCTTCACAATTTTTACAATTGAATCGAGCACACAATTTCCGGGTTGTTTTGGAATTAAAGCTTAAAAATAAATTACAAATAAATAATAAATATTAATGTCGTGAAAAAATATTTTAAAAGAACAAATTTCACTAAACTAAAAACATGGAAAAATAAATAAATAAGTACAGTACTTAAAATGAAAAATGGAAGCAAAATCTTAATCATGATTCCAACTTGCAACTGAAAAGCAAAAGAGAATGCGCAATTTGAGACTTCAATTGGATTATCTTCTCTGACACTAATATTTTAATATGTACAAGTAGTGATTTGACGTCACATAGATATACAGCGCGATATTTGCACCTGTTTCGGTTGTAAATTCTACGCACGTTCTTTTTAAAATATTTTTAAAGTTTACAAATAAAATTATGAAGTCCTTATTTAAAGTTTGATTAGATTTGAAATGTTTTCTGAGGAAAATGGTTATTTAAAATTTTTGAAAAAATTATATACTAACATGAAGTTATTTTTTTGTCAATTTATCACACAATTTTTTATCGTATTTTTAATATATTTAATTTAAAATACGTTCTCCACCACATATTACTAGTGGTTTTCCTCTGTATATCGTACTTTTACTGTAGCAATTGACATGTCGTCTTCTATTTATTTCCTTACAGAGGAAAATGTTTGAATTAAAATACATTCACTTCAGTTTTGTATAAGACGTTCCTAAATACATAATAAGGGCAAACATCCAAAATCTCCCGTGTCTAATTTAGATTTTCATCTATGTAACTCCGTTCTCGAGATTAATTTTAAAAAAAACAGAAAAAAGAAGAAATTCATAGGCCTACAAATTATGTAAACTGCAGCCAATAATTCTTTAAAACAATTTTTTATTTTGCTATAATTACCTATTTATCGATAACTTACAACAAATGGCATTAATTCAGGCGTGAAGAAATTCCCAAAGAAGATCGCCGGTGTTTAATGGACATTCAGATAAACTCGCTTAATTCTTAATTAAATTTCAAACTTAAGAATAAAACATATTGATACAAATCTGCTTTTACCGAGGAATATATTTATAACAGTCAATTGTAACTAACTTTTTTCCAATTGGAATAAATAATGAATTTAAATACAACAAAGAAAGTGGTAAAAATTGACTATAATAAGCGCATTATAGTTTTCGAGTCTATAATTTTATAAAATTATCCATTTTTAATTTTTATTTAATCTTCATCTATATATATAAAAATGAATGTATGTGTGTGTGTGTGTGTGTGTGTGTGTCTGTCTGTCTGTCCTTCATGCATTACCACACCGTTTATCCGATTGCCGTGAAACTTTGGGAAGTTGTTTAATATACTCTGGCGAAGGTTTGTGGCATAGAACAATTGCCATAAAACTTTGGAAAGTTTTTTTAATTTTTTAATACACTCCCGCGAAGTACATTTATCCTACGATAGATGGCGCGCGTTTACACGAGCATTCGCGCACAGTGTGTTCGATCGATTTCAAATTGTGAAGACCATTTCCCCCTTCAAAAAATATCTCTATATATGCATTTGTGAACTGTTATTTACGATATTTGTAATAATTTTTGTTTAATCACTTTATTTCAACTTTTTTTTGCTAATTATGTATTCGCTCGAACTTTGTTAAAACCTTAACTGTATCCCGAACAACAACCGAAGTTGTAGGAGGAAATTCGCCTATTTTACCGATCTAGGTATCCCCCTTTTCCAAATTTTAATATCGACTCAAAATAATTTAAAAAGACAAATTACAATAAAACGGTTTATTATCCAACTATCAGAAATTTCACAACATGCCAAGGAAGAGAGGAAGGAGCAATTAAATAATGAAAATTATAAAGGATTTTAAAAAATATATAAAAATGAGGAATATCGCACTTCTGACAATCGCTGCGAGTGTGTGGGTTAAATTTGGAGAATCCATGCTTCTCACATGGACAACTGTATGTGGCTGGCTCACGCGTCGGAAAACCTTCCGATTTATTCGTGTACGCACCAGACGAAAAAACAAAAAATATCGTGTATCCACGAGCACTCCAATAAATAAATAGAATTGAAACGACACTTTGAAATGTTTTACCGATGAAAACGAATAATAATAATAAGTTTCAATAAAAATGATAAAATAAAAATTTAATTTTATCATAACGAGTTAGCTTGAATTTCGTTTCTTCTGAGATCGCAGCAATGCGCGACGGGAAAGCTAGTTTACAATAAACTACACGTCAGCAATAGCAGCTGACATTTGTTAGTAAAAAGAATAACAAATGGTTTTGGAAGTAGTTAATAAGAATTTTTCATAATACTGTAATTCTTTTATCAATAAAATATTTGTGAAATTTCCTAAGTTATGAAAATAATTTTCATTTAGCTTAATTAAGTACAGGTATACCTCGACTTACGTCGTTTCGAGTTAGGTCGTTTCCGATTATACGTCGTTTGTCAAAAAAGTATATGGAAAAATAAAAATCAAGTTTAAGTCATATTATTCGACTTTACGTCTGTCTGCCACAAATATTGAAGTCGTAATATCACTAGAAAAACGTTTAAAGCACATAAAATCATATTAAAATATATACTAGTATGTTCTGTATGTACAGTACATGCATTCGTAAATTTAGATTACTTTTTTCTGTACTATATTAAAAACTAAAATTTATTTGTTTGTACGCTTAAAATAGATTTTTATTAACCATATACTATTAAAAATGCATTAATAAATAAAATACAGAACCGGGAATGGTAATTTATGGTTTAGCCTAGTGACAAGTAGATTCGGAGATAAGTAAATTCGATTTACGTCGTTTTTCGACTTACGTCGTTCTCCTGGAACCAATTACCGACGTAAAGCGAGGTATACCTGTATTAAAATTTACATGAAATCACGTACATATGAAATAGTTTAGTATGTGCAAAAATTAACGTAATTTGAGAATGTAGGCTCTTTTCTGAGTTTTAAACTGAAAACAAATTTTTATTATTCATCACTATTTTGTTCTTTTTTCAGTTTCATTTTTTTTATATTTTGGGAGGCGAAAAACAATTTTATGGGCGATATAGTAAAACATCATATTAGGAATAATTAAATATTTTATTCGTTATATCGTACAATAATTAAACAAATAACATTAAACTAGTCACTAGTGTATTCAATGCAGTACGAATTATGCGTTAGTCTTGGCCCTCGGCATTGAAATTTTGTAGTGAAAAGGGCGATACTACGTAACGGTCTTATTTTAAGGGGGCGATGGTACGTTAAAAAGAGCGACGTTTTGTTGGAGATTGAGAAACACTGTTCTAGACTTTCAAAGACGTTTACAAAGACAGATAAAGTATTTCTCTTACCCCCGGCGATTATTCATTTCCACCTTTGTAACGATTTACAAATAATCAACAAACTAACAATAACCTCAACTTGTTACATGATAGAGGGTAACGAAAAAGGTCACCGACATGAGTAGACGGAATTGAACAAACTCCCCTTCCTCTATTACGTTCGATATGAACGATGAGAAAACAGATCAAGATGGCCGTAAAAGGCAACAATCATTACTAAAATGCAAGACTAATTCTGTTCTTAGTCTCCTCTAGCGATTAATTCCGTTAGTTTCACAACTGTTATCAAATTTATGAGAGGGAAGAAGTGACAATACCGGATAGAAGAAGTAATAAATCTACAGAAAGATTCGGATGTTTCACAGCTAACATAAACAATTCCGGACGAGTCGAAATTACATGGATTTGCATCAGAATGTTCCCCGATTTTCATCCCCATCCGGTATGAGGACAGTCCTCCCCTCCGCTGGGACACAGTCCTCCGGCGGACGTTCACAGCTGATAGCATCTGGGTACATCTACAGTGGGTGATCATATTATTAGAGCCACTTGTTAAAACTGACAAATAATCAGTAATACTGTAAACATTTCAATACAAAGTTCATAATTAAGTCTTATTGCTATTATTCGAACTTAGCAGATGCTTACACGTTTCAAATTAGTTGATTAATTTATTGCTGGCAACCATTGCCATTTTGCGATATCGCTGTCATTCAACAGTTTGTCACCGTTTGAGGTATCTGCTTAATTCGTACTTTTTGTTTTAAAAACATTTTATTGACTTGTTATGGGGGTAATATTGTTGTTAAGGTATATAATGTTTAATATGATGTTATAATGCCATTTTATATAAAAGTTGTTACAATTATGAGCTTTTTATTATTTTTAGGTTATTTTAGTCGTCGGAAAAGTTAATGATTTCACCCTTAAGAATATTAGTAAAATTAAAACTTTCATTTTAAATACTGAGCATTCAAATACACAAATTGCATCAATTGCAAACGTAAATGTTCGATGGGAAGACGAATCATTGTCGCGAGCTAAAATAGAATTTTTGATTATTTTGATTTGTTCCCCTTTTGCTTTTGTATTTCATACGTATAATTTTATAGTTGTTTATTAAACGTGTTATTTTTGGTCAACCTGTGTACATATTCAAAACCTATCGACGTACAGTACTCATTGACCGCCCCACTCACATTTTTAGCCCTTTTAAAGCCATTCTTTGACAGAGTCGCCAGTAAACGGGGATTACTCTGCCCGTTCGGTTCTCGCAATAGGAAATAGAACTGCGCAGAAAAAGTAGTTACATGAAATAAACAAATAAAATTAAAAAAGACAAATTAAAACGAGTAGTAAAATTATTATAAATAGTAAACAATTAAAACATATGTTTGATAAATTTTATTAAGAATAAATATAGCAATATGTTCAGCGCAGAAAACTAGTTTAAAAAATTAATGATAAATAAACCCTCCATCACGAATTCCTTAAGGGGACCTTCTAGATTTTCTTGGCAACGACCTCGCACGTATAAAAGACCGGCCTGATTACGGCCGGGAAAGTAAAACAAAGATGTTATATTGTGCTGTTGAATGCAATATGTTGCAACGATTCTATAATTCCTAAATATATTATAGCGTATTTTTGTCATGTGTAATAAAAAAAAATGTAGAAATTTCAGATTTTATCCATTCGGAAATTTATACCGCAATTTATTAACACTTAAATAAATTAATTGTAACCGTTTTAACTGTTAGTGTTCGTTAACAGAGGGCACTCGTATACTCCAAATGTGCAGCATCGCTATGGAAACAGACGTGGGTGGTTGCTTTGAACTAGATTTTCCGTAATAAATTCATGTTCGTTTTTTAAGGTTATAAAACATCAAAAATTAACATCT